TTTTTTTGTTGACTATCAATTTGTGGGCCCTACTAATTGCATGTCACCAACGCCTACTTTGTAGTCTCAGCACTATGCGTTAAAGCCTTTAAAAGGCGCTTCGAATGAAATAAACAAAAGTGCCAACACTTACATTGTAGTGTCAACACTAAATACCTTTTTAGCTTTAACAATTTTCATTTTTGTTATGGATTTTACTTCTTTTTTAACATGATTTTTTAAACTCTATAAATACTCATTCGGAGCCAGACTTGTGAGCTTTTTAGGGAAGACCAAAATAGAGACGATCAAGAGAAACTTAACATTTAAAGAAAATTAAATTTGAGATTTTATATTATTAAATTAATTTTACTTTACCGTAAATTTTATTTTATGATATCAAATACTCTTATATTTATCTAAAGATATTTTATTTTCTTTTTTTAATTATAAACTAATTTAGTTATCTATAGTTATGATACAACCTAATTAATTTAATATAAAATTTCATAATTATTATACTTTTAAGATCTATTATTTCATATAGAATATATATTATTATTCTTAATACTTTTTAATGATTTATCATCATTAAAACTAATTTGAAGAGTATAATTGAAACTAACTTCTAATAAGATATATCATAAATTAAATGAAAACTAGAGATGAACTAATGTAATTTGTGTAAATATTAGTGATAAGTGAATTTGATTTTTTTATGTAAGCTAAGGAATTTTATAAAATATAATGCATAATTATCTATCTAAATTTACATAAAAATATAATGGGTTAATAGGTAAATATGAGTTTGGTGTGACTTAAGAAAATATATTGAATAGAATAAAAATTTTTGCTATCACATAAGTATTAAAAATCTTAAAATTATATTAATTTAAATTTTATATTATTTGATTATGATGGAATTATATGCCTTAGAATTTCACTTTTTAGTGTCACTTAAAATTAATTTAATTTTTTTTAATTAGTTTCGTTAATTAATTCATTCAAATTATTTAATTTCTATTGTTTAAATAAAAATTAATTAAACAGCATAGTTAGGCACCTCATGTAGGTCATTGCTTTGCAACAGCGGTGCGAGCGGTGTCATCTTTTTGGTGGTCTCTGCCATTGCTCTCCAATTTGACTGTCAACAAATTAATCAATTTCAGATATTTTATTTCCATCATAACGTGAAAGTTAAATATGTGAGTTTCAATAGAAGAATTATATCTAATTTAAAATTAATTGATAATAAATTTTTTTTTTTGTATTTAGTTTATATATATTTAATTATTTGTTATTTTATTGATGTAAAATTTTCTTACTTAACATGACTTTTTCATGTGCAAATTTGATATTAACTTTGAATCTTATTACGTAAATCTCAAATAAAAAATAAAAGATTTAAGGGACCTTCCTTAAGTGTAGGTCTGATTTGTCATATGAATTTTAGACTAAAAAACAGCCTTAAAATACTCTCCTCTTGTGCAGGCCCAAGATTTTAAATTTTTTAAAAACAAAACTTAAACTCTAATATCATGTAAAATATTGTGTATTTCTATATGTATCTATGCATATTGAATTTCAACATATATGTACAATGTGAAAGTGGCAAAATAAGTAAAGAAACCTCCTAAAATCAAATTAACTAATATTTATAATTAAATTATAAATTTATAATTATAACGTAATATTAAATAAATATATTGTGATATTAAATAATTAAATTTATATAAAATTATAAATAGATTTTTAAATTAAAAAAATAATTATATAATAATATATTATATTATAAATTTATAATATTACGTAATATTGTAGTTATAATATTTTTATTAAATTAATTAATCTAATGACTATGTCCAACGGTATTGCATGAATTAAGGCGGAGTGTAGAATATCTCTAATAACAATTAACAACGAACAAAATTTGACTGATTCCATCAATAAAAGAGAAACAAAAAACGAGAGAAAAAAAAAATTGACTGATAAGTTCACGCAAAAGAATACTTGATCGAATTAGTTCTCATTATAGAAATGAGAAAAAGAGTGATATATACATGCACAATAAAACACAAAAGTGGATGCTAAAGGCGAGGTTGTGAAAGGAAAGAAAAGGAAAAAGAGAGATCTAAGAAATTATCAGTAAGTCAGCCTATATGCTTATTTCTTATTTCTTTACTGTTAGTGTTGTAAGGATAATTTTTTATATTATTTTTTTATATAATTTTTATATATTATTAAATAAATAAATGTATTTAATATTATAAAATCTTACGTGAATTAAAAAAATTAATTATTTTAAAAATACGTTAAATTATATAAAAGATTAAAAAAAATTATACAAAAATTATTTTTCCTTTTTTGACAATAAAGAATCAGATTCACAGAGCTTTATATATTGGATCTCCCATGCGGAAAGTGCTGATGATAAACTTATAGTGAGATGAGTTGGGCCCAGGTCAACATTTGGTAGCTTTTTTCTTTTTTAAGATATTATGAGTATTCAAAATTTTGTTTTAATTAATTTTATAGATACTTATAAATTATTTTATCTATAAAAATTAAATAAAATTTCATTTTTAAATCTCACCCTTAAAGGTCGTGAGTATAACATATTAAAAGTAATCATTTACACCTAAATAGTATTAAAGGGATATGAATCTACATTCTTAACATAGTTCAAAGAGGAATGCTAGCTGCACTCGCCTTTCTCCAGCACTCTCCAACACTCCCTCATGTAAAATAGCCACGTGAACTTTTCTAGTTGAAAACTTTGAATTGCGAGCCAAATTTTGTTATGTGGACATTTTACATGAGAGAGTGTTGGAGAGTGCTGGAGAAAGGCGAGTGCAGCTAGCATTCCTCTAGTTCAAATAATTAAAGTGAACCCAATAATTCAGTTTGTAACTAGTTAGCTAACAATCAATGTAGAATGGTCGTTGGCACAGGACTTGGAAGCTATCTCCCTGGAAGTACGGATGCACAACTCCTGTTCTATATATTACTTTTTTTTTTCTTGTTCTCTTGTAACCGTTAATGCAAATGAATTATATTACTCTTTTTATTAAAAAAATTAAAATATATTTTTTTAATAAGACCAAATACATAATTAGAGGCACTTGGCCGTAAAGGCTCAATAACATTAATTATTAAAGGATGCATTCTCTTTTTTTATGAGTTGGTTTCGAATTCGTTTATGTTAAAATAATAAAAAAAAAATAAACAGCGTTAGAGAATTATAAATAAATTTTATATATTTTTAATAAAACAAACACAAGGTCCAAGGATATATAATTTAAAATTCAAATCATGAAATCTGAAAAATGAAAACATTTTGGTAAAAGTTGTATTGGCAACAAACCTTCAAACCCCCTTTGATCTAAGTTTTCTCTTTAAACAGACCTACAAATATCTGGGATTAGATTTTAGGGGAAACACTTCAATACTTAATTCAATAATAATTTGATTTACTCAAAAAGAAAATAAAAAAAAAATTATAAGTCAATTTCAATTATTTGTAGTAAGTGGCTCTCAAGGGTATTATTTATAAGCTTTATTGGTAAGGGTGGACATCTCCAAAGCAAAGATTAAATAAGTGCAATTTTATTGTAGTTATCGTCCAATTAGAAAAACCTTAATCTCAATCAAACCTCAATTATTGAGTGGTTTGAACTCAAATTTGACTCTAGGAGGTAACCAGTAGTCCTGGTAATATGTTCACAATATGTCCAAGATCATTGATCTTGGACCTATACTTACAAAAAGAAACACAATGAAATGAAAATTTAAAACGAATTCCACACACTTCTAATTCCATTCAACTGAAGCCGAAATCAGTCGGTTGAACTCCATTACAAGTTTCCTATCCTTCCTTTTGTATTCTGGAAAGACAGCCCCTTCTGGATAGGCAACAACAGTGCCTTGCCAGAGGGTGTTGTCATAGATGAGTACCACACCAGGCTTCACCAATTTCATCAGTTTCTCATAATAGTTCATTTTCCTTGTCTGCATCCACAAAGGCACAAAGCAAAAATCGAAACTCCCTTCATTTTCTTGCTGCACAAAAAAAAAAAAAAAAAATCCATGTAGAATTAAAACAACAATATAATTAAATTTGATGGTCCTTAACCTTTGATTTTTCTTTTTGAACAACAAAAAAAAAAGGATTTATTTATTTTTATTAAATAAAAAGACTTTTATTCATTGAGAGAACAATGGGTACGTACTCCAAACCCTTTGATTGATTACATCCTAATGCGGCACAAAATGCCTTCAAATAAACCCTGTCCAATACACCTACAGCCCACCCTACTTCAAACATTCTTTTGGAGTAAGAAATAGGAAACAAATTTTTTTTTATTGTACAATGTAAAATAGCAAAAATATTTTATGATTTTCACATAAAAAAATCCATCAATATGCTTTGGGTGTTATAAATTGTAACTTGTACTGAATTAAAAAATTACCTTTTTGCAGGGGGTCTTACAAAGTGCCTCCCCTTGGAAAAAAAAATGCAGTCCAAGCTCATTCAGACAATTTATCAAACACCTGACGAGAATAACGAGTTCTAATCTGTAAGTTCCGTTTCCTTGAAAAATCAGCTTTGGCCTCCAGATCACTCCCAGGACACAAACATCCAATAACACAAATATAACAGGAATGGTTTCCCAATATTTTATTGGTCCCAAGTGGGTATCTTTTGCGATTAATTTGAGCGATAATCATATAAAATCATAGTACTAGAATTATGCGCCTTGAATTGCAAATTATGCTAGATTGAACTAGGCCGTGTCATCCGTCGAGATATCTTCTGCTCCCATGCAACAGTTTTTATGTCTCCGTATTGCACAAAAGAGACCCTGTAATTTCAAACTTTAACTCCCCCAGTCCGCAACTAAGATTCAAATCCTCATTCTATTGCTTGTTCACCGTGTCGCCTTACCTTAATCAACTCCCTTCAAAATTAACCGGTTACCAAATCTTCCTTGCCCCCTGCTCTGTCCTGCCTCATTCACACACGCGGCAAATTAAGAACTTAGAAATGACTGTTCTAGATATTGAGCAGCCTAATTCTGATCCACTCTCAAAGGTTGCAATCTCCAACACTCAAGGTGAAGACTCTCCTCACTTTGCCAAATGGAAAGCACACAAGGAGAATCCTTATGATGAATTCAACAATCCCTCCGGAGTCACACAGACGGGATTAGCCGAAATCAAGTAGCAGAGACACAATCTATATCTATGTGGTTCCGAAGGGATTGCTAAATTCATTATAAGGATTCTCGTTGACTCGTCCTAGGCTTTCCATCCGCAAACAAAGGAGAACCTTGACCATGAGTGTTAGAGATTGAAACTTTAAGAGTGGAACTGAATTAGGCTGCTCGGTATCTACAAAAGCCATTTCTAACTTCATAATTTGCAGCCATTTTCTGTGCGTGGGAATGAGATAGGAGAGAGCAGGGGAGAAGAAGAAAAATGCTTAAATTTTGGAAGTGTTGCATAAAACCTTTGTCAATCACTGACCTTTATATAGTACGCTGAGAGGGGTACGCCTTGGACTTGAAATAAAATAATAGCGCCTGAAAAATATAGCCTGTTGTTTCAGAAAAAAAACGTGTTTTACAGGGCCACTTCCGTCACACAATTTTTCTTTTACATTTTAAAATAGTGTACAGATTATAAAATAGTGCACCCTTTCAGGAAAATAAGAATAAATATCAATGATTGAATTTTTTTTTGTTTTGGTTCCTTTTTCTTTGGAAACTTTTTTGGTTCCCGCTTATTTTGGTTTCAGTTGGACCGGGCTTGGGGGACGGCCAAAGTTTTTCTTTTTAGTTTTTACGGGGTTTGCTTTTTCAGGTTTTTAATTTAAACTTTTTCTTTAATTTAAAAAAAATTCTTTGTTAACTCATTCACCCACGCATGGGTTCAATGGTTGTATATTGCGTAAAGTATAAGCAAAGCAATTTTTCTCTTTTTAATGGCATTTATCTCGGATGACCACTGTTGCGGCTGTCATTCTGTCAAAGATTTTATACGTCTCAATCCCGTGAGATCCGTTTCAAAATATGGTAGTTGTTAGGGAGATCCATCTTCCTTGACTTCCATTGTTGTCTGGATGCCAGCTCCAATCTGATTTCTTGGTTAAGCTGTCTTCTCCAAGCTAAATTCCATAACGAATCCCCATTCAACCACGAACCAACATGTTCTAAATGGAGTAAAATAAAAATAAGTTTTCAAACTATACCCTTCCAAATGGATACAACAACCCAAAAAATCTCCTACATCAAACCGTCAAGAGGAAACTAAAAATTAAAGAGAAATTCCAGCAACTTATAGGAATAAATCCTAACCACAACCACTTCTACACTGAGAACAATGATTAATGACACTGGTTAATCACGTAGATAATTTGCCTTTTCATCTTATGGAAAGATCTAAAATTTAGTAACTCCAACAAACAGACAATAATAAAAAAAAAAAAAAAACCACGCACACATATAGCATCTCCTCAGATTTCCCCTCCCCACGGACATTGATAATTACTTCCTTAAAATTGCAGTAAAAAGGATGGAAATTTTCTTTTGGAAGATTAACCCAGAGATCCAAAGTGGGTGCCGATTTGGTCAACGACTCAGCATTGCATCATTGTGAAGAAATCAAGTTATTGTTGATTCAGAGCTTAGGCTTGAAGATGATAATTCTTGATACAAGAGAGAAATTTAAGGGGGGAAAAAAACATCTTTTTACTTCAAAAGCAAAAACAGTTATAAGTAAGTTTCTGGTTTTGACGTTACACCCTATAACTACATGGCATTATAAGGGAGCGTGGGTGACCAAGCGACCTCAGTTAATAACAAGCTTATTCAAAAAGAACGTTGCGTTCATAACAATCACAAAGATTCTCTATCTAAATTTGGCACCATGTCAACTTATTATTCATCTAGCCTTAACAACCCTTGAGAAACACGTGTTAGGTGGAACCTGTCTTCTTTTTTCTTCTTCTTCTTTTTTTTTTTTTTTTATAAAAGAAACACTTATTAGAAGTTAATATCTGTTCAGTCAACAGGAGAATCAAACTCGAGCGAACTCTACCTACTCTTCATAAAGGAGCATGGCCCACCCATTGGGCCACATGGAGAGTTCTAGGTAGAACTTGTCTTTAATTAATAGGAAACCTTCGGAACAAAGTGTTGAAAAGGATAATAATTAATACATATTTTAATTTAATATATTTATTAAAAAATTATTATTTTTAAATTTTAATTAAAAATGAGAAAATTTAAAAATGTAGATTTTAATAGCTAAACTGATAGATATTAACAAATATATTGAATCGAAAAATATATCAATCATTTTCATTATGAGAGTTATTCTATCTTGATTATTCTCGAAAGTTTCTATCCCTTATTTTATTAAAAAAATTACCCCTAAGAATGCATGCTG